CAATTCGCTTTTCATTTCCCCCATTTTATTTTTCCCTCTTTTTTCTGTCTCTTTTTTCTCTCTCTCTCTCTCTCTCTCACTCACTCTCCCTGAGGTCTTCCATCTGCATTACACGTTTCCCTTATATGGTAGTTTTTGCTTTTATTATTGTTATCATCATCATTATTATTATTTTTATTACCATTGTTCCCGTTATTTTTTTTTTCTCTTCTTCTTTTTTTTCCCCCCTTAATTTAAAGTACCACCCTTTGAAACTCACTCTGGGTGGATTTTTTTTTTTTTATTTATTTATTACAAAAAGATTTTTGGCCGTTGTGAGGATACAAACTAACGAAATGGGGGGGGGGGGGAATAAAAAAAAAGAAAAAAAAAACCAAAAAGGAAAGGAAGTAAAAAAAAAAAAAAAATTGTGCCATATTTAACCTTTGACTCTTTGCATACGTTTATATATGTATAAGTTGTGTGTGCGTGCGTGTGCGTGTGCTCGTAATGCGTTGGTTAAAATGTTTTGAATTTGTGCTGTTGGAAATTCGAATCCTTTAAAACAGAAAAAAAAAAAAATGTTTGAAAAATCATTTGAACGCGCTTTGCACACAGCACGTCTTTTTCATTGAAATTTATTATTGCTTTTTCCCTTTTTTTTCCCCCTCCCCCCCCCCTCGAAAAGGTTTTTTTTTACACGCGTCGTCTTTCCGTCTTTTACCCTCTCGTTTTTCCTTCCTTTTAGGTTTCGGTTACAACATTCGATAATGTTTTTTTTTTCTCTCTCTCTCTCTCATTTCGTCCTTTTCTTCCCATCTTCTTCTTCTTCACGTAGGAGGAGGAGGAGGAGAGGGGAGTCGTTTACTCACGATGAAATGCATAGAAAAGAGTTTTATAAAAAACTTGAAAAGCGTATGAATTCAATTTACACAAAAAGAGAAAGAAAAAAAAAGCAAACAAAATAAAAGGAAACCGTCAAAAACAGGTATAAAAAAAGAAGTTGGTTGGTTGGAAAGTTTCTCTGACATGGCACGGCACATAACTGTGAGATGGAAGGAAGAAAGAGAGAGAGAGAGAGAGTGAGTGAGTGAGTGAAGGTGGGTGGAAGGGAGTGGTGGAATCGTGTGGGAGTTGTAAATGGCCGTTGGGTTTAAATATTTCCTATTGGTGTCATCAGCAGACGACGGTCGTTGTCTGATTTTAAATTTGTGATATCCCGTTTCCGAATGAAGAGAGAGAGAGAGAGAGAAAAAAAAAAGATTTTTAAAGAAATTAGGCAAATGCACGAGAGAGGAGGATAAAATATTATTATTATTATTATTATTATTATTATTATTATTATTATTATTATTATTATTATTATTATTGATATATTTTGTAATTTGAGAAATTTTGGTTTTTTTTTTTTCTTTAGAAATTAGATTGAAATTTGATTTTGAATTTTTTTTTTTTTTTTTTGTAATGCGGAAAGGAAAATGAACACGTGGATATTATTATTATTATTATTATTGTTGTTGTTGTTTTTGTTGCTGCTGCTGTTGCCGTTAAAACAATGAAGAGTGATTAAAAAAAGGAAACTTTATATATATATATATATTGTTGGGGAGCGCGAAATTCGTACATATGGATTTGGCAGGTTTATTAAAATTTTCAATAACGGAATCGACCGGGAGGGAAGAGGGGAATGAAAGGGGCGAGGGGAGGGAAGGGGGAGGGTGTGCGAGCGAGAGGAAAATCGGGAAGAGAGAATAAGGAAAGAAGAAACGCGTAACGAAAAGTTGGAAACAATTATAAGAACAAAGGAAAGGAAAAAAAATTGACGTTAAATAAAAGCTCGTTACTATTATTATTATTATTTTCGTTTTTTTCTTTTTCTTTTTCACCCGCGAAAAAATTTGGAAAATTCTTGCGACGAACCCGGAATTCGATTTCCCGGTAGGAAGAAGACAAAAAAAATTTTTTTTTTTTTTCATTTTCGCTTTCGCCGGTAACATTTATCATTTCTCTCTATCTCTCTCTTTCTCTCTCTCTCGCTCTTTGTGTCTCTCTCTCACTTTCTCTCTCTCTCTCTTTCTGTCTCTGTCTCTGTCTCTCTCTCTTTGTCCAGAAATTTAATCAGAAAATTTTTACCCAAAATGAATTTCCTGAAACTCGCCGCTCTCTTCTATATTCTTTCTCTTCCTTTTGATTTATGTAAAAAGGTTCTTTCTTCGTTATGACCATTGTAATAATTTCTATTTTTCTACTTCCGGTTTTTTTCTCTGTTTACCGGAAGGAGGAGGGGGAGGAGGATGATGAAAAAAAACCGGCGAAGAAAAAAATGAAAAAAAAATTTTTTTTTTTTTTTTTCTGCTTCCTTGTTACGGATTCATTCGTATCTCGTTTCCGCAGCAGATTTTTTTTTCTTTTCGTCCCTCTGAAAGCGAAGAAGATGAATAAACCACCGGTTTCTTTTTTCTGATGAGTATCAACTTAACGTTGGAGAGAAAGAAAGAGAAAGAGAGTGAGGGAGAGAGAGAGAAAAGGTAACTGAACGAGTTTGTAATGAGTTTGATGAATGCGAATTTTTTGCAAATGATGAAACAAAAATGAATTTCTTCGGGATCGGGGGAGAAGGGGGAGGGGGGGCTAAATTTTCGTTCTCACCCTTTTTTTTCCAAATGTTTGACCTCTTGATTTTTTGCTTTGGGCCTATTAAAAAAAAAAAAAACTGGAAATTTCGATCGGGTTATTAATATAATTGATTTTTTTTTTTTTTTTTTAATTTTTCCAATCGCCGATTGAAAAAAATTAATGGACGTGATTGGTTATCAATGGAGGCGCGTTTTTTTGTAATTGTTTATTAATCGAATCGAAAATAAATTATGGCGAAATTTTTCTCTTCTTCAGGGCACACGTGAAGTTAATAATAATATCATCTACTACCGAAGCTATTATTATTATTATTATTAATATTGGGAGTCCGCCTCTTATTTAACTTACTACGTCATTTAAACGATTTTGTTTTTTGTTTTGGGTTTTTGAGAGAGGAAAAATTCCGGGAAGGTTAAAACAAAATGACGTAAAACTACGCTTGTGCGTGTCTATGGCATCCGCTTGGGTTTTTTTTTTTTTCGCTGACTTGATTTATTTTACTATATAAAATTAATTTGAGGTAACGCGATGCGTAAAATTGTGTCGTGGCACGAACTCTCGTTCGAACGTTCATTCTTTTCCCCGAGTACGACGGTGTCACGTTTCTTATCAGCCCCACGAAAAAAAATTACAATAATAATAATAAGAATGAGAATGAGAATGAGGAGAAAAATAAAAAATGTCGTCGTTTCGTGAATGGATTTGATTTTATTTTCTTATCGATATATACGTATTATCAATTGGTTTTTTACCTCCTCCCTCTCCCTCCCCCCACTCCTCGAATCGGATCGAATTCGTTTCGTGGACGCTAACGTGTGAGTGAGTGTCGTATGTCCCTAAATGTAGAGAGAGAGAGAGAGAGAGAAAGATGGTAGTACCTGAAGTGAGAAAGAGGTCTGCTGGAGAGGTCGTGGGAAGTTAGGGGGGAGAAGTGAAATGAATTTTTCCACGGTTTTATATCTAGGTTTCCATCTCTCTCTCTCTCTCTCTCTCTCTCTCTCTCTCTCTCTCTCTCTCTCTCTCTCTTTCGAAATTAAAGGTTTGTTTATTTCGATATAGATAAAAATTAAAAAAATGATAATGAAGGAAAGAAAGGTTTCGTGAGGTTTAACGTAAATTAACGTAATTTTTTTTCTTTTTTTTTTTTTTTAGTTAATAAAATTATTGGTTTGTTGATACCAGGTCGGATAGGTATCTACCTACCTACGTACCTACCTATTGATCCGATAGGTACCCAATTAGTTTTTCATTTAACTTTAAATTACTTTTATTAAGGTTTTTTTTGAGGGGGTGGGCGGAGCAGGGAGGGAGGGAGGGAAAAATTAATTTTTTTTGATTGGTACCTGAGCGTGTACTGAGGGGGGAGGGTGCGGGATGCGGGTGGAAAAGGTACGTTTAACTATTATAACCTCTTATTGAAACGTGGAAATGATTTTTGGAAAAAATGAAAATTTTGATTAAAATCTTTTTCTCAGCATCCCTTATTGTTATATTTACTCTAAATGCTTCTTTGGATTTATTCCAGGGAAAAGTTTTGAGAAAGAGTAAATGATGATGATGATGATGATGTTTCCGTTATTACTTTTTTTTTTAGATTTTCGCTGGAAAATTCTTTTCCTTTTTTTCTTTTTTCCTTTTTCATTTAATGTAAATAATTCCCTTAGGTGGTTGTGTGGATGAATGAATGGAAGTCAGTGTTTTGCATTTTACCTTTTTTTTTTTTCTGGAATTTTTTTTCTTTTTTTTTTTTCTTCTGCTCTTGCATTATCCCCGAACCGCGTTGCGCGTTAATATTAAAATAAAAATGTGGAAAAGATAAACGCGTAGTGAAATTATTAAACTAAAAGCAAAAAAAAAAAAAATTTTCTTGTAGCGTCACTAATGGCCTCCAGGTGTGATAACATCAAAAGAATACTTTTTTTTTTTATCTTATTTTTTTAACTTTTCTCTCCTTAAAATTTTTTAGATAATTTATATATATATATAAAAAAAAAAAAAATATGTGCGTTTATATATTTTTTTTTTTTTCAAAAGTTGGAATTCCGAAAGGTATTATTGGAATTTTGAGAAATTTTTTTTTTTTTCGGATGTTGGGGGAACGAGGTCGTAACGGAAGAAAAAAAAATTGAAATTTTACGAGTATACGCCCAATTTATTTATTATTATTATTATTATTATTATTATTATTATTATTATTATTATTATTATTATTATTATTATTATTATTATTATTATTATTATTATTATTCTCCCCAATAAAAATACGTACAGGTTTTTACAGGAGGAGGAGGAAAAGGAAGGGGAAAAAAAACCTGGAGAGAAAAAGAGAGAAAAAAAAATTAAATTTTTTTCGTGTTTTCTTTTCGGTTTGGAAATGTTGCACATTAACCCGGAGCAGACGTGAAAGGGACAGAAAATGCGTTTATAAATCCGAGGGTACTAACCCTCCAGGGACTTTTGTCAGATACGGTGAGGGATGGAAGACCCTTATTGATCTTGTTCAATGTTGTGATCCCTTCGCAACCCGAGCTACAAGGTGTTTCGAAAAAAACTTTTCTCTCTTTTTCTCTCTCTTTTTTTGTGTGTGTGTGTGTGTATATTCCCAAACAGCCGCGCCGTATTCATTTTGGTATTTTTTATTATTATTATCATTATCATCGTCATCATCATTATTATTATTTTCCAATACCGTGAATGCTTGAAAAAAAAAAAAAAAG